TTCGACCCTTCCCACGAATCAGGCCCCGCGCGCAAGCGCCCCCGCACCGCCGGCGTCTCCTCGGAGGAGCGCAAGGAGGCGCGGGCGCACCGTAACAGGATCGCTGCGCAGAACTCGCGCGATAGACGGAAGGCGCAGTTCCAGTACCTTGAGCGCAGAGTCGCGGAGCTCGAGGAGGAGAATAGGCGGTTGCGGGCAGGCGCGGGTGTACCGTTGCCTGTCCCCTCTGCTGCTGTTTCGGCTGTGCAGGTTTTCCCGGCTGGCCTTTCGTTGGCGGCTATTGGGGCTGCGGCGGGCGAGGAGGAGCGGGTGCGCGTGGAGAGGGAACGGGAGAATGAGGAGCTGAAGGAGCGGATTAGGACGCTGGAGCGCGGGTGGGATGCGGTCGTGAAGGCGCTGCCTGCCCAAGGTCTGCCTGCCGGCATTTCGACGACCACGACGACCGCTCCTACCCAGCCTGCTCCCACACCTTCAACAACCACTCAAGCCGCCTCAACCTCCGCGCCCACCACAACATCCAGCAAACCCGCATACACCGCCTTCCCCTCCCCCGCCCCCTCGAACGCCTCCCTCGACCTCGACTCGAGCAGCTCCCCCACCTCAACAACCTCCCTCACCCTCGCCCCTCCCTCTATCCCGACCTTCACCGCCAACTCTGCGCCCTTCGTCCCCATCGGAGCCGGAGCGCGGGAAGCTGCCCTGGCGCACGGGCGCCCCACCGACGAGACCGCTCGCCACCTAGCACGGGTGGCGTATACCGAGAGGCCTTCACTGGCTTCCTCGGTATCCCTGCAGCGGGTGGCCTCGTCGGCGGTGCACGTGCACAGCAGCAGCCCTTCCCCGCCTCTTCCGTATGTCAGGGCGCTGCAGCTCAAGCAGCTGCTGGAAACGAACAGGGCAGCGAGGAGGACGACAGCGACAAGACTATGGAGGCCCTGTTCCGCGAGATCCTCGCGTCGCCGTGCGCCGCGCATGCGGCCGTGGTGCCTCAGGGTGCCGCCGCCTCGGCCGCCACCGCCGTCGCAGCGCAAGTGAGGTGTGGGGGTGAGGCTGGCCTTGGAGGGTTTGGGGAGAGTGGGCTGGCGGGGGCGGAGGTAGCAAACACGAAGGAAGAAGGGAAGGAAGCACAGAACACAACCAACACCGACAACAACAACAACGAGACGACCGACTCGGCGGTCGCCGAGTGGGCGAACGAGATTGAGATGCAGAGGCTGTTGGACGAGATGATCGTCCTCACGGGCGTCGGGGCTGAGATGGACATGGACATGGGTATGGGTACGGGTATGGACGCGATGATGGCCATGGACGCCGTGGACTACGCCAACCCCGAGCTCGGTGCCGGCCTTGACCTCGGTCTGGGGCTTGGTGCGGATATGGGGTTCGGTGTCGACTTTGGATCGGGGGCGGGGTGGGAGATGGACGCTGGGATGGGGGGCGTGGGCGTGTTCTGAGGCGCTTGTAGTTAGCCTTGGGCGCGTCCCGTCTTTTCGTTTTGGAATCTCAGTGTGTGTGGGGGGAGGGGGACTGAATGTATGCGCGCCGAGGAGCCCCGTTGGATGTCGCGACGGGGCGGAGTAACCTGGTGCTGCGTACGCTTTTCTTTGGTTTTGGTCCCCTCGTCACCCTTTCCCCGACCCTCTCCTGGCCGTCGTTCGCTGGCGAACACGTCTTTCGACCACACAATACCAACATCAACACAGACGTCAGCGAGCCCACCCTCAAAACCAAGCGTTTCGGCGCTGATCAGGTCTTTCGGTTCCCTCTGCTCTCCGGCTACGTCAAAAGTCAACATGTACCATATATATGGACTCTGCGCTCGACAAAATCTCGGTCTTGTCTGTCTCTGTTCTATCCTCTTTTTTCTCTCATCTCTCTTCGTTGTCGTGTTCCATCCCTGTTACCTATAGCACCTACCTCGTCTCGCTTCTTCCTAACTTATCCACCCTTGGTTTATTCGTTTTTCCTCCAGGCCTCTCTTACTTACCTTTCTCTCACTTGTTTTTTGATTGGACGATGATGAACCGTTGCCTATTTTGACCTTCGTACTTAATTTTTCTTTTTACGCTACTTACCTACCTACCTACCACTTCTCGCCACCTCGGACCTCGGGCTCCGCGCCGCTATCGCGTCGAGCACAAGCCGACTCAGCCAACGACCCGCACGGACGCTCGCCACGCCAAGATCAGTCGACGTCAACAACGACTGGCCTGTGCGTCCGTGCGCGAGCTGGCCTCTCCCTCTCCTCCCTCTATCCGCCTTCCCTCATCGACCCGGCCTACTCTCCACTCACGGCCTCACCTCCTCTACCTGGCCTCCTCCGCTCACTTCCACTTCCGTCCTTCTCCCTCCCTCCGCCTCCTCTCCTCTCCGCCCTCCGCCCGTCTCCTTCGCCCTCCGCCCGTCTCCCTCCGCCTCCTTCTCTGCCCGCCGCCCACTTTCCCAAACCGCCCATCTCGCACGGACGCTTGCAGCTCCCCCCCCGGGTATGAGACGCGCGTTCGCTGTTCGAGTTTGTGTGTTGGTTTGGGTTTGGGTCGGTTTGGGTTGGAAAGGGGTTGGTGGCGGGGAAGGGGTCGGAAAGGGGTGCTAGGGGTGGGTGTGGAAGTTGGGTAGGGAGCTGGGTGTGGAAGTTGGGTAGGGAAAGGTTGGCTGTTGGGTCGGGTTGGATGTCACACAAGAGCGACAGCGAGGAAGACGGCGCGAGGCGCACATATCCATCCATCCATCCTTCATACGTGGTAGTGTACCCCAGTAGTAGCGTTGACGTTTGAGTAGTATGTTTTGGTTGAATATAGGTTTATGGTTTTCGTCGTTCATCTCTGGTATCGTTTGAACACGGCTGTCTGGGAATGAGTACTTGCTCAAAGCATTGTTCGGGGGAGACACTGGCCAAACATCAGTTTATTCCAACCTGACACACTCATCCGGTCGTACCCATCACTTATCCCCAATCATTGATGTTCCTCAACAGAAACAGAGTCGGCCGTGCTCTTTCTGCCTTCGACCACGCCAGCCATCGCTGGGCAGCCATACCTTTGCGCGACCCGCATGACCCAATCACCCAGAGGCCTTCTTCTTCTCCCCTAGCAGATGCTCACGCTGTCGGCAAGCAGATGCTTTCCCTCACATCTTGGAATATCCAGGCCTCCCAGTCAAAGCCCGTCGCACGCTCCGAGCTCATCCTCGACCACATCCTCAAAGGACCCAACTTTCCCGACATTATTCTTCTCCAAGAAGTCGCGTCTAGGGTCCGGCAGTCTCTCCTCAGCGACCCCAGAGTACGCTCGAGCTTCCTAACGACCGACGCTGAGGACGACACGTCTTTCAAGGGTGTACCGTTTGCGACCATGACGTTGCTCTCCGTTGCTCGCTGAGGAGGGCGAGGGCGAGGGCGAGGGAGGTTCCAAGATGGTGCTCGACAGCGTCTTCCGCACGTAGCTGCCTAGCAGGTACAAGAGGGATGCGCTCTGCGTGAATATCGCCGCCCCAGCTATGCCTGGCACAGTCCTACGTCTCCTCAACGTCCACCTCGACTCCAGCGACGCGCAGTTCAGGCGTGCGCTCCAGATGCTGGTGCTGGCTGGCTGGCCTCCTGCGCGAGCCCGGATGCAGCGGCGGCATCATCGCAGGCGATTTCAACGCCATCCACCCTCACGATCATACGCTCGTCGACCAACACGGGCTGGTCGATGCCTGGGTCGCGCTGCACGGGCCTAATGGAGGAGCTACATGGAGTGTCGGCGGCGTCGAACTCGAGGACGACGGACACAAGCCAGGCAGATTGGACAAGGTCGTCATGTTGGGCTTGCAGCCTGACGAGATCGAGGTCCTCCAGCCTGGTCTTATCAGCGCCTATACGCCCTGGAGAGACCACTGCGGGCTGCGCTGCACCTTCACCGTCTAATACGGTGAGCAAGTTTTTCTTCTCGCTTGTTGGACGCCCCTATATATATAACCACCTGGTTTTCCCCATACGTAGATAATTAGATCGGTTGAACCATCATGTTGATTTGTTTTCCAACGTCGAACGATAATTACCCACTTCAATCGACGATCCATCTCTTTAGACTACATAAGTTTGTACGAATAATCCGCGTAAGCCGCTAAGACGCATAGTCGTTGCCTCTTCGCGGCTCTAGCTCTTGCAATTGTCGTATCTCTCGAATCGTGCTGTAAGCAGATACTATACGCTACTAGTCGCATCAAGGTATGATGAGACAACCACTTTCTACGTTGATTAGCGACGACACTTCGTGCTAGCTCTGCGCTAAAGTACTTAAGCATTAAATGCCACGCTCAGCCCGATCTCAAGCTTAAGAAATCATACAGATAGTCAAAAACTTTGCGAAAGCGTGAAACCTCAAGTACCAAGACTTCAATATTGATCTGTGTAAGACGCGGCTTTGCGGACGGGATATCCGAATCACATGCACGAAATTGGACTCTGTCAGCTCAAAACTCTCCTTCGTACCTCGATGTTTCGGATCTGGTTGTACAGCGAGTACCTCGAACCACTAGACTGCGTTCTCAAGCTCGACGTGGATGACAATGTGGATGCAGCCCATCTTAAAGGCATCCTGCACGAAAAGTTCTGGCCCTGGGTGTACAAGTTGTCGGAGGAGAACTTGCACCTCCAAATCTTCCACCTGGTACGTGGTCTATATCTCAGATACAGGGCAGAATTCTGATGCATCTTCAGGAATCTGGGCTCCCAGTCGAACCGGAGGAGACGTTAAAAGAGCGCAAGCACCAAGCTGAAGGCCAACTCGTCCCAGCGAAGCTCAGTGGCAGGGTCTCCGCTGCCCATGGGGATCGGATTTACTATTTCCTGGAGATCGTTCGTGGTGGGTGTTGTTTGTCACCCCACTCATTGTCAAGCTGAGCCCGCATCGACCTCAGGTGTACCGACAAAGCGTGCGCTTTCTCCCTCCAACCAACACGAATTTGATCGCGACGTCACTGACATATGGAGGACTAAGCGTGCTAAAATCGAAATCCCTCGACTTGAGAACCTCTTGGGATTCATCGAGCAGCCTCTTGCTGTCGAGGAAAAGATCCAGCTTCCCGCTCCCACATATCGCAGCCTCATTACGCGTCGCCTCCCTGACGTGTGTAGCGAGGAGGATGTTCAGTCCCTATTTCGACTGGGCGATATAAAGGATGTAAATACCATTTGTCTCATCACCGCTGCTTTGGATCCGCCACCTCGCGGCGGTACCGATAATGCCTTTATCAAATTCTGGGATGCAAATATTCGTTCGGTCATCGAGACCATGATTCCATATGGCACAAGCATACGCAACAGTAATCAACACACGGAAACTCGAAATCTTAGACCCGATTTCGGTCACCTCGTATCCGATAAGTGTGTCTTCCGAGGCGAGGAGAAGGGCCCAAACAACATGGGAGACCCCAAGGTAGAAAAAGCTGCCAAAGTGGGTCTATTCGCCTGCCCCTTATGTATTGGGTATGTTCTGTGACTTTCGCGCGTTCGGTTCTCTGATTCTTTCTGGAGGTTACTATTGTAATGTATCTGTTATGACCTGTTATGACCCTTGTCGCGATTACACCACCACCTGTTGGCAAATTGGGAATGCCCATTGTTCACGACTTGGTGACGGTTGACCTGAGCTCAACCAAGGGACGCATCGACAATATACGACATCTCATCAACCTTGCAAGCCTCCTTAAACCATTGGCCGATATGATCAACTCAGCCAGTAGTGAATATCAACCCGTGTAACGGTACAACCTCCAATATTCTACACGACTGTTGCACAATTGACATGCTACGCCTCTAGGAGACATTGTACGGTTGAAGTAACAACCACCCTCATTGTTAAAGTGTATACATCTCCAGATGCAGAATCGCGAGTCCAACGCCTCCAGTCCGCTTATAACAAGCTACGAGAAAAGAAGGTCCCAAATGTAGACCAACTTATCTCCGTCCGAGGGAATACCGTACATTTGGGCCCACGCGGAATTGCTACGGAGCCAGGAGGAGAGAGTGAACTGCGGCAATGCCTCAAATGTGTTTTGGAGGCGCTCATTGTGAGTTGTCTTTTTATTATTACTATTTTGCTATAAACTGACTCAGTTCAGGTGACACATCAAATACCTTTGTATCATCGCGATATTCGGTGGAGTAATATCGTCCGTGCGATCGAAGATCAGTCGAAATGGTTCATCATAGACTGGGAAGATGCTGCTTACCCACCTACTCTCGCGCAAGAAGATTTTACTCCTGAGAGCCATTCACCAGCTATTAAGCATGATGGACATGGGGCGGAAGTTGATATCTGGGGTGTCGGGCATTTAATTACGACCTGCATGGCGGCCGATATTTCTATGGGCATGAAGGCACTTGGGCGGAAAATATGTGAGGATTCGGAGAGATTAACTGCGCGTGCGGTCCTCGACATGATTGATGAAACCACGTAGCTCCTGTTCAAGCACCGTCTACAGTCAACCAATGAATTGGATGAGTGGCCTCCTGAGTACTAGTCGAATGCACGAGACGCACAAATGAGGCCACTCCTCTTCCGAATCCACAACGTTCGTACACCTCATGATCACCTGACAGCTACTATGCTCCTCTTGTTCGACTCTCTGGAGACATTGTCACATTAACCAACCACCACCTTCGATGTCCCAACAAACGCGCCTACGATATTCAACACCCATTCGACAACACTCAAAGCCCTCAGACTGCGAGTAGCATGTCGGACAACACTCGCACTGCTATCCTTCCGTCTGCAGTACCACCCTCAATCGCCATTCTCCCTCCAGAGCTCCTTTGCGAAATCTTCCTCCACGCTCACTACCTCCTTCACCACCATCCGCACGCTTCCCTCGCCTTCCTCCCTCTCTCACACGTATGTCGTCATTGGCGCGCCATCGCGCTCTCCCTTCCCGAACTGTGGTCCAACATACCCGTCTTTCACCGCTCCTGGACGGGGGAGATGCTATTGAGATCGAAGAACGCGACATTAAGCGTGCGTGCAACATTTGACCCAGAATTGGAATCTGGGTTCAGACGCGCAAATGAGCGTGCCCTCGAAGCAGTTCTCAAACACCTCCCAACGCGTATCGGACACTTGGAGATTGCAGGGCTCAACCCATACGCCGTGTTCCTCTTCCTCAAGTCCTCGTTTCCTTCCTCGCCGTCACTCCTACCCATCGCCCAAAGCCTGCATACCCTCCACCTCTCCTGCCCGCCTCTTACAGATACCTCATGGGATGGCTACCGGCTGCTCTCGCGCTCTCTTCTTGAGGCTCCCAACCTGCGCGAACTGAAGCTTGATAACATGACTCTGGATTGGGCGGACGCTTCCTTTCCTTGGATGAAGAGATTGGCGGTACGGAACCCGCCAGAAACGTTGTACGTCCCGCCAAGCGCGGTGCTGGCTGTGCTGAAGGAGATGCCACTTTTGGAGGAGCTTGAGCTCGTGCAGGCTTTGGTCGAGGACGTGGGTGTGGGTGTGGCAGCGTCCACGTCGGATCGTACGTCACTTGGAGCTGCAGTAGAGCTACGGCATCTAAGAAAATTCATCGTCAAGGGAAGAGATCGCGAAGTGGAGGCGCTCCTGGCCCATCTCGTCCTCCATCCTGACGTCGAGTTGGGCCTTGTGACAAGGCTTCGTTGAAGGTGCTCCCGGGTGTCTTTTTTTGTGACTCGTCCTTGAGATGGTTGGTCGGCGAGGATGTTGGCCCCGTCACTCGCAAAACACAAAGCCGTGAGCACTCGCCATGCTTCTTTTCTCGACAAGATGAAGATTGAAGATCGTCAAAGACAACAACTTGCGACTTGTTAGCTGTTCATGTTTCTGGATCTGCTCCTGCCCGACGCCCTTCATCTCGTCCCGTTACTATGTCGTCTATTCCCTTCGCATATTTGTCGACAGCTCTCTCCCTTTATCCTAATTTTGTGCCACCTCAACGGCGTGCATCAGGTCTCAGGACCGACAGATACTTCACCGACTCCTCACTTTGGTCGCGAAAGAAAGCCTTTCGCTCTTACAATACTACCTTGTCATTGTTGAGGTGCTTCCGATGCGAGATCGTTGCGTTAGAGCCCATGAGCCACGATTTGGACAGGTACTCGAGGTGATAGGAAACACCTCTGCCTTTGAACTGTAGCCTAGCTGCTAGCCTTCCCGGCATCGCAATTTAAGGTGATGGAGTGAGAGAGCAGTTTGTTATTAACATCGTAATGGCATCGCTAGTCCCTACAGCTTCGATTTGTATGTAATGAAAGTTCCGTCCAGCGCTTTGATTGAGGGACGTACCGCGGTGGCTGTGCGTGAGGTTCGGCTCCGGCGACGACCCGGCAAGTTTTTCTGCACAGCGACCACCAGCCAGTTTCTCAAAGGCTGTGGAACGTGTACATCATGACAGAAGGGCCTCCTCCCTGGGCAGCCAGCTCTTCTGGCCCCACGCCTTCCTCCACGCCTTCCAAAACATCGACTCCAAATCCGAGCGCGTCGCCAGTTCCAGCTGTTGTTCCATACTCCAATCCCTCGGGACCAACACCCTATCCCTATGCCTCCTGGGGTACCGCCTGGACGCCGAATTATTCATCATACTCTCAAGGGTGCCAAGGTGCTCCAACCGGGCTTTCCTTCCCACCCAATCCAAGTTCTTCTCCAAAAGTCCATCAACCACCCTCCCAATCGCAGCCCTACAATCCTTACACCCATCTCGTTCAACCAGCTCACACATCTACTCCTACGACGAACGCAACCTCAACACCGTCTGCATCTAGAGCTCTGGATCCCTCACCTATACCACCGCTTCCTGAGCCAGAAACGTACAAGCATTGGGACGAAGTTATCGGCAAATTCCTTCGACGAACGAGGATGAACCAAGCTGTCAAAGGGCTGCGAGCTGATATACTGGTTTTGAATCCCGATTGGGAGCAGCAGACGGTGCCGGATGCGTTGAGGGAACTGGCGAATGGGCTCCAGGTGTGTTCCCGTCTTTCCTGAATAACAGGGTTCTTGATTGAATATTGTCACCGTTTTAGACGATACTGGACCGCATGGATTCAAAGCTGAGGAACGATTCCATGCAGGTGGATGGCTCTGTCGACACGACTGCCAACAGTCTCCCTGAGGAGAGGTCACTAGAAGATCGCAAACTCGACTATATTCACCTCGCAAACGGCATGAAGCCGCGTTCACAATCCTCAGTAAGCTACTTAGCCCTTTTCCATCTCCGTCGAACACTCAACTTGATAGTGCTCCTGTTTCTCCCCTTCTGCCAATCATGTCCCGGATTCACGTTTGAAAGATAACAAATCGATCTCGCAGTTCCTTGCGCGAACCAGGTCTCGGAACGACGCGTCGAATCGCGCAGAATTTCTCCACACACTAGCAGAAAAGAAACGACAGGTACTCTCTGCGGCTGCCGAGGATCTTGGCTCGGAGGATGGAGCCCAAGCCATGGAAATATCCTCTTGCGCTCGCGTCGACGCAAGACCGATCGACAGGGATAAGCAGATCAAGTACGACATCTATAACAACGCTGAAGGTCCCTTGACGAGGAGGGTCAAAGTTGATGCTCCTGCTAATGAACAACCTTCGAACTTGCCGATATCTGCCCAACCAAATCCCGCAGCGACCCCAGAAGGAGAAGGTCAACCTCGGAGGAAGCGCAAGCTCGGGGCCGCTGACGAACTCGCGGACAGTGCATCTGTGACGGAATTGCCTAGTCGATCTGAAGGAAAGCGGTCAACGTCGGTGTTAGAGAAGGGAAATGGCGATGAGGTCGTTACCGCTGAGCGTCATCCGGGCTTGGATGAGCGGGTGCGGAACGTCGAGGCTCATCTGGCGATGCGCTATGGTATGTTCGCGGTGTATATGTGCGCATTTTATGAGGTTAACTCGTATCTGACTTCGCTTTATCTAGTACCCTCTCCGCCCCGAACCTTATTAGCTCGACTCAAGTACATCGAAGACCATATCGTCAAGCTAGAGAAGGAGTACCCTCCATGGGCTGCGCTGCATTTCAACCAGCCCAACCGCGGGGTGAGTTTCCTCTCCTCCTCCCTGCTTCCTCGTTGATCACAATCTTCGTTTCATCCTAGTGGCCTCCACCCCCACGAGCGACACCCGTCATCGTACCTCTACATCTACGGTCTGTCACTCCCGCTTCAACCATCACAGATCCATCGAGTACGATTGCCATACCGTCGACTTCCGCCCTTGGCCCGACGAAAGGCAATAGCGGAGTGGTAGCGCCTGGTTCAGCGTCGGGTACTTCGGGAAAGCAACGCAACAAGGATTCAAGCTTGCGCAAGGCGGTTTTAGACCGATTGGAGGTCCAGCGGGCTATGAGCGAGATGAGCGGAAAGGGCGGGCAGGCGTCTTAGTTGGATCATTAATATTCCTAGAATTGGTCTTTGTGGTCTACCGTCTCGTGCTATTGAGTCCCTCATCGTTCACGATATTCTTCAGTGCTGTATGCTTGAAAAACAGTCCCATTGGTGATCTGTCTAGAGGTGCGGGCGCGAGTCAAACCGATATCCGTTCGCAAGCTATGTTCAGGATCTGAGCGTCATCCTGTATGACATTGGGGTCGTCCGGCTGAGGAACTCAAAACAATAAATTTGCCCCTGTAACCCGGATGGATTGTGATGGACTACGTGGAGGGCATCTCTCTGACGTCTGCCTGGTCCCGCATGAACGATTCTCAGAAAACTCGCGTTCAGGAGCAGATCAAGAACTTTCTTGGGCAATTGCGCGCGATACCCCATCCCCGGCCCGGATGCATCTGTTCGTCTTCAGGCGGCCCTCTCAACGAGCCAAGGACGAGGGGCGGAGTACCGATTGGCCCCTTTGACTCTGTGGAAGCCTTCCATGACTTTCTCTTCTCCCTCGCTTCGAGAGGCTATCCGGATCACCTGTTATGCAAGATCCCTCGGCATCACAACGACTACGACGTCCTTTTCACTCATGCGGACTTTTTTCCGGACCATGTCTTTCTTCACCCCAATGATTTGGGGCAAGTGGTTGCCATTATCGATTGGGAGATGAGTGGGTGGTATCCCGAATACTGGGAATATACCAAAGCCATGCAAGGAGGTGATTCTCTTCTCCCAGGTGCAGCATGGAGAGATATCATGACGCATGCAGGGGGAGATTACTTCGAAGAGGGAGAGACGGAGTGGGGATTGATTGACTTTCAGGGTAGGATCTAGCATCTAGTATGATTGGTTCTGCAGACATTTCTAAATCTCTAACTTGTTCCGTGAATACAGAGCATGATATTCGATCGTCTATATGTTGCTATCAGTAATATACATTTTAGACCCTTCGCTGCTAATGCTTTAAAGAACGTTCTCCTGAGGCTCCGAAAAATGTCTACGAAATGTGAGATCCCTCAGCGCGATACCGTAAGGATGTTCCACTCCTCTCTGCTTCTTACCCCCCTTTTACCCGCCTGGTCTCGTGTCAAAACCGCCTGTATATTCACTCCACATTCTCTTGACGATCCTCACAAGCAGGCCATGGGCCCTTATTTCGCGTATCGACTATCTGGCGCCATGAGACAGGAGAAAACATCTAAATAATAAAGCTCTATCTTTCGTCAGATCCCAAAGTGAACGTAGGGCACCCACGTCAAGAGGGCCTGCTCAGTGTCTCCCAGGCGCTCTCTGATCCTGCGGATGGCATGATCAAGGCCCATGCATGTAGCCGCCCCCGTTTGCCATCCTTCGACGATGCCTCTAATATATGCGCGTAGAGCGTCTCTGCGACCTCGGGTCCATATTTGTCCCTGATCTACAAGAATATTTTCCCGCCAAGCATTCTGGATCAAGGACCACGACTGCTGAAAAAGAAATACCTTTGCCTTAAAAAGGCTAACCAAACAGGGGCTACTTGTGTCGCCACGGAGTCGACTACAGACTTTCGATGACGTCCGCTGTATTATCGTGCGCACAGCCTTAAAGTGGGAGAATATGGTCGTTGAACTTGAACGTTCGATTTTCGAAGCCGCATGCAGTCAGAATGTATAGCATCGCAGTCCATCAACCGCCGAAGACACAGGTGGCTTGAGGCGAATTGGATTCAAAGCGAGCCCCGAACTTCACGAGAACACGACGCGTTTAAATAGATTAGCCATTTACGTTGTTGCGAGTCGGTAGACAAACATCGATCTGTCGATGTCTTGATCATCACAAAGGTGTCCGACTCTAATATACCTGGTCTTCCGACCTCAACAGATCTTACCGCCCTGTCCTTGTCTCAATACAGCGTCCTTGCTAAGACGTGCACCTTAGCCGTTACTCCTCTGGCCTTCAGATGAGAGATGAAAATGCGTCTTCTCGTACTGGAGGCGACTCTCAAGGATGCCGATGAACGCTGGCATGAGGCAGTAACCGCAGAATCTGAAGGTTGAGTAAACAACGCTCCGGCGACCTCTTTCTCACCGAATGACAAGGGCGAACTCAATGTTCGATGTTCGATGTTCGATGTTCAACGTTCAACAGTCAAGAGTCAGCCTTTCAATATTTGCAAGGACGTCGTCCAACAATCTCTCCAAAAGCCTGTCGAGAGAGAAGTGTAGTTTCATCAGTCACTAGTCGCAACGTTGATCTGTCAATTGTCTCACCTTCAACTTCCAACTTCCTGCTTATGCCAGTCGCCTACGGAGACGTATAAATCCAGCCTGGAGAACCGGTTTCTTTTTCCCTCCAGGTCTGGTATTTTCTTCACTCTTCGTTCCTTTGTTCTTCCTTTTTTTCTCTCTTCCCTCTTTCGAAACTGACCTCTTGACGAGGTCCATTCGTTCTATTTAAATTTTCTTCAGCCCAAACGAAAAGCACCAGAACAATGAAGACCATCACGCTCACTTTTGTCCTCCTCGCCGCCATCCTCGCACGAGCCGCTCCAGTGCTCAGGCGCTGCGAGTCCGGAAGCTTCGACAGTAAGTCGGTGCCCATCCGCGTTGTAGACACTGGCTGACTTGGTTTCTACTTGCGACAAGTTGCAGTCTGCGCGCGTGAAGCCGACACCCAAGCTGGCCCATACGCGAAACGAAGTCTCTTTGCGCGCCAATTCGACGACTTCGGCTTCGGCGACATTTTCGACGGCGGGTTCGACTTCGGGTTCGGCAGCTCAGATTTCGGCTCGGATAGTGCAGACACGGCAGACACTGAAGATCCTTCGAGGCAGTCCGATTCCAACGACACGGAGGAAGACGAGACTCCAAGCAGCAATGGCACTGTCGGTGCATCTGCCGACGATGGCGTAGACGCAAGCGACGACCCGGCTGACGCTGGAGACGTGCTCTCGACTGCAGACACAGCAGGAGCGGCGACGGCCGATTCCAGCGACACAGATAACACATCTACAAGCTCAGCCAACGCCGCAGCGCTAACAGGCAATACCTGCGCCGCCTCTTCCACACCTCCCAACGCTGTCACCCTCTCCCTCATCAAGGAATTCGAAGGCTTTGAGCCAGCACCCGCCCCAGACCCCATCGGCCTTCCCACAGTCGGCTTCGGACACAAATGCCAACAGAGTGGCTGCGCGGAAGTGCCCTTCTCCTTCCCCCTCTCTCAAAGCACCGCGACCTCCCTCCTGGCATCCGACGCACAGACCTTCGTCGACTGCCTGCACGCCGCCCTCGGCGACAACGTGATGCTGAACGATAACCAATTCGGGGCATTGACAGCGTTTGCGTTCAATGTGGGGTGCGGGGCGGTGAGGAAATCGACATTGTTGAGGAGGTTGAATGCAGGCGAGGGTGCGGACACAGTTGCGAGCCAGGAGCTGCCGAAGTTTAATAAGGCGGGCGGGAAGGTTCTAGCTGGGTTGACGAGGAGGAGGGCGGCGGAGGTTGCGCTATTCCAGACGCCGTCAAGTACGGTGGCACATCCTCTGTGCTAGGTGCCAATCAACGGGGTTGAGGATATTATGGATGCTGAGTAGCCTGAAGTTTGGGATATAGGCATGGACTGTTAGGATATGGATTAGTCGCCTGTGTATTTCCGGATCTTGCAGGAAAACATACCGATTGGCCTGGAAATGAATCATGTTCTTTTTCTAGAACTAAGGAGGGAGAGCACAGAAGAGAAGAGATACGACGTTGGAGTTCAGAAGAACGTCAAGAGACTAGGAGAGATGGTATCAAGCCAACGCGTATTGCTTTACAACGAACTCGGAGAGAAGCAAGGAGCCAGCAGTGCAAAACAAGAAGTTTTTCAGGCGGTCGTTCCCGTCCTTATTCCATGCAACACGGAGCAGTCAAAATGTCCGATACAAGAGCTGTCGACATGGGGAATGGCGACCTGCCGCGAAGTCCGAATATAAGTTCCTCCGAGTCTCGAACAGTTTTGACAGTTTTGACCAGCAGAAGGCTGGGAGAGGCAGGGAGCCAAGAGAAGTGGTTGCATGGGGCCTCAGTGCATTGAAATCCGAAATGTCTTCGGATCGAGACGGATAGTGTCAGCTAGGTCGAGGAGCGAGTGGCGGGAAGAGCAATCCGACAAAGGCCGATGGCCGAGGCTCCGAACCGGAGGATGTTCCAGAGCGTGACAAGTAACACCTGTGACTATCTGCCCCAAGATGCTCTCTGGAGGCCACCCTATATTTACACGCCCTTATGATTTCAACTTCTTCCTTTCACCTCCACCATAACATACGCGCTATCCAACATTCATTTCGTGTTTCCTCGTACACATCCTAGAACTCTATGACGACTTTCTTCACGATGCTCCCTTCACTCGGCATGGCGCCTGGCGACCTCCTCATCGAAATCGCCCTTTTCTTGGAGACCCGGATGGATATTCTCAACTTCTGCCTAACAGTGCGTTCGTTGAGTTGTAATTGCTATTATGAAGCTCACAGAATGTTTGCAGTCGAACCATGTCTTCTCCAATGTCTCCTCAGTTCTATACGAGACAGTTGTCTTAGAATCCGTCGAGCAATGCAAGGGCACCCTCGGAATGCTCTCCAGGCGTGCCGACATTGCACGTCACGTTCGGAAACTAATCATTCGACCGCAGAAGAGGCATAAATCCTCGTTTACCACCGCCGACAACGCGGTTGCCTCGTCCGCGGTGCGCAAGATTGCCTCCGCCATGTGCTTGGACGCCCTCGTCAGGTTTCAGTGGGATGCGGATGAGATGCCATATCATGAAGATATGTGGTTCGCCTTGCGGATGGGGTGCGTCGTGATATGCTATTGGAAGGTACCTTACGTGCTAATCAACGATATAGATGCCCACAGCTACGGCACATTGGCACTTCCATTGGAACGAACATCCCGAGTTTAAGCAGCGATGTGCGTCACCTCGCCTCATTAAACCCGTTCCTTGGTTGACCACTCATCCAGCTCTTCGACTTTCAAGATCTCAGAGGCTTTGGATTGAACTTGACTCCTGGGTTTTACGAGGCTCACATGGACATGTTCTTGGATGGTCAGCACTGCCGTGTCATCAGTCCCATTTCGTCCTGATATTTAATATGCGCAGAGGATTTCCCCATCCTCAAGAAACTATGGAACATGCTCTTACATCGGTCGCCGAACCTCGAAGAGCTCGCCATCGAAGGCTACTCCTCCGTTCCTGCCGACATCCACTTTCTCGTCGAGGGTCGTTGGCCCAAGCTTCGAAGACTCGTCCTGGGTGACGTGTGCATGGACTGGTTCCCGCGCTCACTCAACCCAGGCGAGAAGCGGCCCTTCGTAGCCTTTCTAGAGGCCCATCCTGGCTTGGAATCCCTGAGTTTATCGAGACACACGATCCAGCCCATCCACCTCGCTTCACTCGATCCCGATGCCCTCACCAATATCTCATCATTCTCTGGCACGCATCAGCAGCTTCAGGCCTTGCCGCACCTCCACCGTATTGTCAAATCGGTTACCTTCCGCGACCCAGTTGAGACAAGGGAGGTGTCAGCGCCGACGGTAGCAAGCCTATTGCGCGAGTTGACGGGTCTGACGAGCTTGAAGATCTCGTTTACGCTCCACTCGATGTACGACAGCGGAAACCTCCTCCGTTCGCTGATGCAGTCGTGTCCGATGCTACGTCACCTCGAACTGACCTGCGCGCACAAACCGTCTTTCCAACTCGTACGTCCGGATTTTCCATCTTCTAATCCAAGGATCTAATCTTATATCTTTCCGATCAGGACGCATTCGCAAAGACCGTTCGCGGCTTCCCCAAACTGCGCAGCCTGCACCTCACCATCGTCAAATATCCAGGCGACGAGCCGCTCTCAGCTGGGGCGATCCGTATAGCACAGAGCAACCCGCGCTTGCAGACCTTCCGCCTGACCTTCATCCCGCCCGTCTACCCCGTGCCGCTTCCCTTCGCTATCCCGTACTCCTACCGCCCGTTCCCGTTCTCTTTCCCCGCCCGCGCGAGCGGCGCGTTTGAGGTCACCTGCGACACGCACGGGCTCCCGCTCTCCCTCGCCGCCCGAGAAACTACACACTTCGTCTGGCCCTGGGGCCTCGGGGTGACTTGCAGCACGAAGCGGTATACGAAGGACCTGCGTCCGCTGAGCTACCCCGGGCGGAGGAAGGCCGGCTTGGCGGGCTTGGTGTGCCTGGTATTCGAGAAGTCGAGTGCCGGCGAGGAGATGCGAATGATCCTGTTTTGTGCGTTCTTGGCCCTGCTCGCGGCGTGTGGGATCTCGGCGAATGGGAGTGGTGCGAGGCGTACTGCTGTTGGTGCAGCTGCCACTTCGATACCCCGGGTTGGGGCGTCGGCGCTGGGCGTGGGCTGCTGATTGGCTGGGGGGCTCCTGATTGAGTTGGGTTTGCCTCGTACTCGACTCTGACCAGATCCCTGGGCCCTCAAGATTTCTCAAGAGCCGCTCAATTATCTGACATCTATCATCCAAGTTACTTCTTCATCTTATTCACACATTTTTCATTCCTATTTCGCTCTCCATCTCCCTCACCTATTTATTTCTGGATTTATTATTGTCCCCTTGTACCACTGTTGTATCGTACTACTGTACCATTTTAATATCTCCTTCGGTGTTTTCTTCCGTCGTCATCGGCGCCAATAATTGTGCGAGGGTCCACTTGGAAGGCCGCCCATTTAAATTCTGGCAAGGCAACTGACATCGTTAGTGGTACTGGCCTCCTCATTCTTCCTGATGGCAACATTCAAACTTCACAACTCGACCTCCATTGGCCCTTTTTATTACATACTCTAATCTTTACTAAATGCCAAGTCCAGCCTCGAGAAACGCCAACCCTCGTCCTAGGACGACTCGGACAAGTCTGAACGCCTCGAAAGCCATGATCCGTTGACTGCTATTGACGCTCAAGCAAACTTGCTTCGACAAATGTGCCATCGGACATCCTTATACCGTTGCTGAGACAAGAAGAAGCAGAGCCTATTTGTACGAATGCTAGATAATCTTATCCTCAAACACATACTCGTCACTGCCTGGTGACATCCTCACTCCCGGCTCACTCCCGTTCACGCACAGGCTAATTAAATCTCATCACAATCTGTGATGGTTGACGTTGAACATTCACCGAATGTCTTCTACGTTCCGAGTCTTAAAGATATCGTGGGGCATGGCTCTGGGCTCCTCTCTCTGCCTCGACAATCTTCCACCTCCCTGGGGAGACGAAGACGATGCCCTCGTTCACACTGGTTGTAAAGGACACGTCTCCTCTTCTTCAGTATTCTTCGAAGTGGACTGCTGGCACGTCCGCAAACGATAATGTTGCTGATCAGTGCGTCTTCTCTTTCCGTCCTTCCCCAGGTTGTGTTTCAAGTGGATGGCGCTAACGCGCTCTCGGGTCCTCTTGTCCACACCTTCGCGGGCGCACAGATACACACAAAGCAGCTTCATGGCCACCCAAGCTGGTGGGGAGAGCATGACCTTCCAGTTCTACGGCAGCGCGCTACAGCTCGTCGGCGCGAAGCGCGACAACCACGCCAACTGCCAGGCGCAGGTCGACAACGCACAGCCCATCACCACATCCGGGTTCGCCTCCCGCCCGCAGTTTAACCAGACGCTCTTTACGTACAACCTCGATTTGGCGCAGCATACTTTCCGCTTGACAAATGTGGACGCTGGGAAGTTCTTGGATGTTGATTATGTGCGTAGTCCTTTTTGTCTTGCTTTTACGTTGGGAAGAGGGAGGTTTGGGCGCATGGTTGAGTATTGGGTTGTTTTCAGGTTGCAGTTAGGACGAGTGTTGGGCAGCCAGACGAGAGGTTGATCGTGAATAACTTCGACGCGTCCCATCCTTCCTTCGCTTTCGCACCTCCAACCTCTTGGACAATTCCCAGCGCCTTGAGCGGCACTCTGTTTGGAAGTAACGGAAGGTTGGAAAGTTTTACTACATTTTCTTTCGGAGGAATAATACGCGTTCGGACAGGGCGACCATCGATTCCGCCGCATCAGCGCAATTTACTTTTCAAGTAGGAGACGCTCCTTTTTAGGAAATTTCTTAGCAAGTTGACGCTTTCCTCAGGGCACGTCCCTCTGTGTGACCAAATGATCCGCAGGTACTTAATTCCCCTTAACGCAGGGGATGCTGTGGCACTTTACGGTCCCGTTGGACCCAGCAGCTGCAACAGCTACTCGGTACAGGTGAACAACGCGAACGCGTCCTCATTTTCAGCACGGAAACAATTCAATAGACCATCTCAATTGATGTTCTACGCGGGAAACCTTGGGCAGGGATCCCATACCGTCCGAGTTGCTCCTGGTACTGGGTGTGGAATACTTGCGATTGACTCAGCGGTGGTCTACACGGCCCCTTCACTCGGAGGAAGGTCAGAACACACCCCAATGCGCGCATGATGAAGGTATTCTAATTCAGTGAGATACCTAGTTTTTCTGCCGTCGATTCTGCCAGCGTGCATAGAGAGTATGTCAGTTCTCCCCAAACGGTACGGACCTTCCTGATTATTATTCCTGCTTAGATTACCCACATCGGTGGCCGCTGGTCTCGCCTTAGCTTGCACCATCGCAGTACTTGCGACTTTCTGCAGTCTGTACCTCCTATGGCGCTACCGAGTCCAATGGCGCACAGGTGGTATCGACGAAAAGGACGGCGAACAAGCCTCTGTTCACCCATTCGCCTCTCCAGTCACAGACACCTCGACTGGCAGGCCGTATAGTGTTCACTCTGAATCTGAGTTGACCCACCAGCAAAGCTGGTCCGTCTCGTCGCATGGCTCTACCATTATGTTACGTCCCCCACAGATGCTGGAGCCGAATAGGCAACGAGACGTGAGTTATCTTCGAGCTGCTCTTTGTGCTACTTGTTCACTGGCTAATGATAGACGAAGACCGGAGTTCAGGAGGCGGTCCAGCAGCGGGACTTCCCTCCACCACCTGCGTACCAGCCTGGGTCCGCTCGATACGGACAAAGCTTCTGATTGATAGAATGTCGTTTAGGATCTTTCTTGCTTTGAGAGAGGCAAGGAGCGCCTTGTATAGTTTCGTATGTCTCGTCTTCAGGAAACACACGTCTGGACTTGATAAGTAATTTTGTGGGATAATACTCGTACTGTATACCTTCGTTTTACCCTGTCACTCCTTATACTACGTTCCTTTGTAGGCGCGAAGGACTTATAGTTTTTACATCAAGTTGGCGGGAATTGCGTTATCGTTTGGTTAGAATTTAAGTTGTGATGAAATAAGAGCTCAGTGTGTCCAGTCCGAAGTCCTCGCTTTGTGGGCGTGCACAGTAAACACAAATAGTTCACTGACTGTCGTTTTGATTTCATCGTTCTCAGCCATGTCGTTATATGTCGCGCCCATCCTCGCAAAGTGTGAGATACGGGACGCTAGAACTCTTGAGATCCATCAAACTCGCAGCGCCAACCAATCAAAATGCAATTATCTATCAGAAGTTCTTGTCGTTCGCGATATCGCCAACTCTACAACTTCTGACCTGTAGATATCTTGTAATCCACTGGGCAAGTCGCTCAGCAAGGGCCAACCAAACGCCGATATCCTGATCTTGCCCTCCATTGCCCAGCTTTTGCGAAGGCTACGCTGTGGAGCTCGACGCCGGTCCAGTATATACCCTTCCGACCACAACCAGATCATTGGAATGTTGCGATTGGTGTCATGTTATTTGCAACGGGTCTTGGGTCGAGAAAGTATTTACATACCTTTAACGCGGCAACCCGCCGAGTAGGGGACACTTACGATCTCGCGGTCGTCCCGGCAGCATAACCTTTCGGAGGGGGTTTAGACGCGATCGTGACCAAGAGCCTCACAGTCAAATTTGTACAGCTTCTCCAGTGCGGATGCTGATGTTACATGCGAGTCATCACGGTACGTTCCTCCTCAGGGTGCAGGTTATGTAGTCGTCGGTCACTGTAGCACCTGCGGTTTATTGTCGAATAGTTCTCTTGTGGCATAATAGGCGGGCAGCTGCCAGAAAAGTGAGGAAGTGGCGCTAACGTGCTCGCCGACCGTTCAAAGGAAGGCTGACCCAAGACGCGACTCATTCGAGGCGGTCAATCGAAGTCTACTGCGCATGCTCTTAAGCACATATTCAACAAATTACGGACTTCACTCACCTTGGTGTCATACGAACGCGAGCCCTGTTCCTATTTCCTGATCAATCGCCAGCTCTTCACCTCCGCGGAAAACAGCATGACCAGCGTCTATTCGGGCAGAGAGGGGCGGAAGGCGGGCTGAATTCCTCTTGCCTCCTCGGAATTCAGAGAGTAGACCTGGCTGACGAGTAGTCGATGGTTCTATCGTTGCGGTCTCGATTTGGGGTGCAGCAGGCTCAACGCGGATTAGTGGAGCGGGTATTCGCTTTGTCATCTTGCAATGGAGACAGGTGTAGACCATGGCGTGGCCATGACTGCGTAGCTCTGCGGAAAATGTAAGGGGTTCGCAGACGCATCTGATACAGAGATTTGACCTACTCTTAACGCGAACGGAGGCCGATGAACCTGGGACGAGGGTGGTATTGCAGTTCGAGCACAATGATCGCTTTAGTGAAGGATCTCTGTGTTGGGTATGAGTTCGAGTGGCATTCAGATGGAACGGTACACGCACATTTTGACCGTGGTTTTCTGCCCGACAACGCGCATACATCGTATGTAGCTGCGAGCAAGGTCGCCTGGCGTTTGCTTGTTGACAAGTCTTCTGGCTTTCTTCGGTTTCCTCCTCATTTTTGTCGGTTCCGCGATTGCTATTGTGGAGTCTTTGTCGATTGCTATCGGCATTCCGTCGTTTTCTGTGTCAGCCTCTTCTCGTTCTTTCCCCTTGCCCTTGCAAGACCTGTCTTCATGCGGTGCGGAGATCGATTGGAGGTAAACGCTGGCTTGATAGAGGAAGTTCAGCCGCTGTATAATATCGCGATTTGGGGTGGCATTCAAGTTCGCAGTTTCCTCTTTCTGCTTCTTCGCCATGGTGCGCAGATGTCTCGATGGATGTGGTTGGTGGTCAAAGATGGCAACTTCCTTACGAGAGAGTTGGGCAACGGCAATTCCGGCCCGCCCTGTGTTCCCCTGCTTCATCAAGAACTCGAAACGACCTGCATATATTGGACAGGATATACGGCCAGATTTTAAATTCTGAAGGGGTTGAACGTTTGAACCGGTGTTGCGTATACTTAGTAGCACACCGTATTTTTACCTAGGGGTACTGGCCCTCTGGCAGGGCCGTGCATGTCCTCCCAAACGTCGTGAACCCTTGGAACAGGAACTCTTGTGCTTTTGCTTACGAACTTCATCGTTTCGGCTTCTTGTAAAGTGACGGGAGAAAGCTTCGCGATAGACCACTTATCGAGTCGTTGTAACGCTGGCTGTTTGTAGGCGCGTGCGCGTATTCGGTGGTAAATTAAGGAGCCAATAAAGAGACGAAAGGAGAAAGTTGAGCGCCTAATGAATCGCCAGAATGACGAGAACGAGAACATGATAGTGCTGCAACATAAGCACCTCAGCGTCCATAGTTGAGTGGTTCCCATAGCGGAGCTTACCAATCAATAGGACAGGAGGGACGGCCAGATGGTGCTGCTGCTGGGATGGATCGGTCTTGACGACAACGGTCTTAGCTCCTGAATCAAAGTTTGAATGTGGAAATCAAAGGTTACATAATCTACCCGGAGTTCTCGGACCGTATAACCCCTCATACTTAAACAAGTTCAGAGAAATCGGTAGGTCTACGGATCCTTCTCCTCCCTTAGACAACCCGTGGCGAATGACATAAATACTCATACCACAACCTGAAGGAAAATCGTTAATTGTCAGGACAAAGCAATGTTCCGCGAGAAGACTGACCGGCCAGCCACCGGAAAAGTCGAGTCGATTGATACCCAACTGCGTACAGGACAGTGCATTAGCTTCAAAAACAATTCAAAAGGCCAGAGTGAACTACTCACGAAGGATCCAGATGACGTGTAATAATCTACCGACAAATTTATTTAATAGAGGTATGGCACAGAGTGAGAACTACGCACGGTAGACAAGGATAGGACCGTCTCCGTCGCTATAGACGTCCTGTCCTCCTGGGCCGATAATCTATTCCATTCCAATGAGGGTCAATGGGCCAATTGCCGCGCGTTGAGAGGGAATCACGTTGCCGTGTGACCCCAAGACAAGTGTACCGCCTCCAGCAGTAAGCGCGACGCCATTCTTGTCAACGTACTGCCCGTTCATGCTAAAGGAGGAATAAAATATCAGTCTCTCCCTCCTGGGGTCGTTCCAATCTGTAAAACAAATAGTAACGCACCTCGACGCCCTTCCCACACGGATATTATACGTGCTCCCAGTACCAGCGCAGCACTTATCCCAGGACGTGAACAAGTAGTAATAGTTCCCGTTTTTGAAGATGGAGCTTGCCTCGATGGCCCCGCTTGCTTGGGGCCGGTCAGCGAGGGAGATGATCGCAGCTCCGGAGGGCGGCTTCCCGGTAGATGGATCCAAGGGAAGGAGCTTGATGCCGCTCCAGAAGCTGCCGAGGGTAAGCCACCATTTTCCGTTTTCTGTGATTTTGGTTCCGGGGGATAAGGCGTGGAAGAGCTTGTGGGTTACGCACCAACGAATACACTAAATAGGGACGGGTTCTAGTCAGCAATTTTGGAAGCTTCGTTACTTGCGTCGAACGAGGGCATACTTTGGATCAATAGCCTATGGATTGAGCTGAGATGTCAATTGGCTGAAAGAAATATATGCAACATTCAAACCCACATTGTAATTATTGGAAGACGATGTCGAAGTTACGAGGCCAAGGTTACTCCAAGTTCCTGTGAACATACTCTATCGATCAGTCAGAGAAAAGAGGAGGTATCATACCAGGATTTCCACTAGACGATTTTACCAAAAAGATGGCAGACTTCTGGGACCCGAAGCTTGAAGCTGAGTACCACAACTGTCCCCTCATTAGTATCAATGCGTTTTCCGCGCAACGCAAACGAAGTTTACCAAGAACTCGTTCCCGTTGTAATAACATTCGGGTGCCCAAAGGTTCCTGGCACCCACGATCAGTCCTCCTACCGACTCCACGGCGAACAAAGGTTCAGGAATTATAATACCCGTTGCTCATCCCAGTGTACGTATCCGTCCAGGAAGCCCCAGAAGGCCAGACCTTCCCGGCAAGGGTCCACGCCGTCCGGTCTGTCGAGGTGCGTATCTCAATCCCAGGGGCAGTCGCTACAGGAATGTAAGTCAAGGAGAAGAGATAATTAAAGCGATGGGAGAAGAACGTACAAAACAAGAAATATTTCCCGTTGTTGTCCTTGCAGATTGTCGGGTCGTGAACCCTCGTGTCGCCAGTAACGACGCCAGGGCCGACCTGAGCGAGAGCAGGAGCCAATGCAGAGGCTACGAGCACGAAGAGAGGGAGAATTCCAGGTAGCATTCTTGCTGGGACACTGGGAAAAAAAAGGATGGTCGGGCGAGCTAATATGCATCCTTCAATGCGCTCCCGTACAGACCAGATGACCATGCCGACGAGAGGAGCCTTTTTATCGCATATTTTACGGAGGATTGTGGGTGCTCTGAGACTGCAGTATTTGGGCTAGCGACTTTGCTTCTAGCGTCATTGCAATCCTGGGTGATCACGTCGGTCATGAACGAAGGGAAGGGCGCAGAAAATATCAAGCCGCGGCATCCATATTTTAAGTACGTGGCCAGCAGACCGTAACCCGTGTTGACATGGTGGTTTAGAAGAAAAGAGCAACAACCGAGTGTGGCGCCACAGATGATCTCCGACCGGCCCGGTCATCATCCACCCCATCTCGGCGGTTCAACCAAAATACAGTATCTTCGGATTACAAGCTATTGCGGATGATTAGAACATGCAGGATGATCTATGTATCTGCAAAAGATGACTTCTACACGAAAACTACAGATTGGGCATCTCAGGGCATGACAGAACTTGAAACAAGAGCAGAGCAGATATATCATATAACCAGGATCAGATCGTCTTAGTACCTCGATGGGTACCGTATTAATACCTATAAGATAAATGTATGGATGGATGGAAGTCGAGGATGCGGAGGTGGGACGTGGATCGGAAATAGTGAAGGTATGCGTCATATCCATCGATTGTCCGAAACGGTGGAATCGCATTTTTTGGGTCAGGAGGTACGCCAGATGATCAAGACGGCAACGAGCAAAACGAAGACGAGCAAAGACGAGCAAGCGGTATGCACACGTCGTGTGGAGTAATACAATCGAGACCTGACAATTGATTAGCGTACATTCATCTACCACTTTCACAGCAGGAGTCACGAGTCCGAGACATTGGAAGGAAACCTAAAGAAACATTAAGAAGGGAACAAGAGACCACGCACATTTTGTAGTGCATCACTGACTCCTGCTCGTCGCTTTCTAGTTTATACTTGATCGTGATGTCGAGGTCGCGGTTATTGGGTGCGTTCGGTGCGCACGAGAGATGACCGACGATGTGGTCGTTCTCGTGCAGCCTCTGGTAGGGTAAAGGAGGCATAGAATACTGTTTGTCTGCCACACCGTCAATCGTGGCTAGAGTGACGAGAGATGTTGTACTTACTTCCAGTGGGTATAGGTGGAATGAGGCCCAGTAGAGAATTTTATTTTCTTGTGCATGCATTCGAAGGGAATGTCGAACCAAGCTGATCATTCATGCATTTTCAAGAGACCAGGAAGTGAAGCGGTTTATCTAAACGTATCCAATTCTTGCGTTCACATTGGGCTCCCCACATTTGAACACAGTTAACCCTTTTTTGTGAAAGACTCTTCATACTTCTTCAGCATAACCCAATCATGCTCGGCTGTGATGAAGTCACAGCCTTTCACGCCTGTTGGGAAGCCAGCATCCATGTTGAGATTGCCCGGATACTGCACTTCACCCGCGACACCGCTCCAGTCAAAGTCGATGAGACGGGGATGGCCATTGGTATCAAGTATGATGTTTGGTGTCCGTAGGTCACCATAAACAAATCCCTTCTGGTGCAACATCTTCAGTGCCTTCCGGAGCTTATCAAGCCCTTCAGGGGACAGGGAAGCACCTTCGGATTCCTCCAGATACTTGGTGATGACAACATACATCCCAACAGACTCCTCCCATTTGCAGTGGAATAGCGGGGCAGCAACACCCTCATCAAACATTAGTTCATGTGCTTCCTTGCAATACTGGGCCGTAAACTTGACAATGCAATTGGTGGGTTGCTGTAGAAAACCACCAGTCGCCTCTGCAAGGAAAACTGCCTGTGGGTTGCGAGTAAAGTGAGTATTGCAACGTTCAAGGTATCTCAGCTGCACAGGACCAGAGATTGGAGGAGTGAAAGTCTGGAAGTGGGGGGCGGGAAGCAGTGGAAACTTGTCCACATCAAGTGGCTCCATTTGACCGTAGTACAGGTCAAGTTCGTCCAGGCACCCTCTAAGAACCCTAAGAGTGTGGACAAGTAACCCGACGTGCTGATCACGATACGAAGGGTAGCCAGCCTGGATTTCGCAGCTCGAAGCATTGGGGGGTACCAATGGAAAATAATGCAGAAGGTTCCCGGAGACAACACCATCAAGGTAGATGGCACCGGAAATTGAGATAGAATGCCCAGGAATGGCTATGAGAAACGCAGGCATGCATGAAACTCGACGAAGAGCCTTTAGCTGAAGGAACTAATGAGTAAAATGCTGAAGCTGATGTTGATTTGTTTACCTCAGGAGCAATACAAACCAAGACAAAATCCTTTTCATTCTGCTCCATCGGGTCACAACCACCAAGACCGGCACCGTTCTTGATTTCGGTGAGCTCCTTGCACATCTTCCATAGTCCTGGATCTTCCTCTCCAAACAGACCACACTTGACATCCAGAGATCCATCAGGTATAAAAGTTTGTCGGCCACTACGTCGGTGCGTCGAGGTCACGGCCCCACGTCCAAGGAAATGCGCAATAGGGTGTTCCAGTGCAGCGCGACGGTCATTCTCGTCAGCATAATACGCGGCAGCCTTCCGGAGGAGGGTGTCAGCGGCTCGAAAGTCTTGTCGAGAGTAGTCGGTATTCTTGAAGGGTTTTGAGAGACGAGCCCTAAAGGTTTGGAAGATTGGATGAAAGATGGATATAGAAGGGCCGGTGAGGGTATCCGGGCGACCATTGTATATTGCTTCAATCCGTGACAGTTGCTGCGTCCTGCACAGTGCATCGTTCTTGGCTTCGTCGGATGGGCTACCGGTCCTCCGCCTGATAGAATCCGCGATCTGTTCGCGTGCTGAGAACCACGTCAACATTGCGGTGAGAGTAATGACAAGGGGACGTACTCGGACGAACGGACTCAGGGGTCTGCTTCTCTCTTCCTCTTCGATGGAAGCAAGAGGGCCAGAGGCATTGATGCCTGCAAACAAATGAGTATATGCACTAGCGAAGCGGCAAAAGGACTCACTGCATAGCACAATTAAAAAGACTGAATAAGGCGGGAGATCATTCCATATAGCTTGAAGATCAGAGAGCTTGAATTCATCGAGCAAGAAGGTGCAATCTTGCTCAATCAATGTTGAATTAATGGTACGCATCCCGCTGAGGGTCCTTTTCGTGAACAAAACATTTTGGGTTGATACAATGGGTGCACACTGTCTGCGTGCTTCAGAAAGACGTTATCGAGCTTGAAGAAAATACTCACACTGACGACTCCGTGAATAATGACTCCCTGAGCACGCATTTTAAGTTGCATGGGTATCGCGTTGGTGGCAAACTCTTTCAAGTGGGCAATAGTGATATCATCATCGAACTTGAACGGGAAGACAGCAACGAGGTCGGAGTCATGGTCGGAGTCGACAGCAGCGACCTGACAGAACATAGCGCGTACAAGGAAGATAGTGAGATTGACGCGGGCTTGATCTGGTTTGATTCAAACTCCGCCGCTTGGGGCCACAGATGCATCACAACGGTTCAACCAAAATACAGTATCTTCGGATTACAATACGGATGATTAGAACATGCAGGATGATCTATGTATCTGCAAAAGATGAATTCTACACGAGAACTACAGATTGAGCATCTCAGGGCATGACGGAAACAAAAGCAGAGCAGATATAACCAGGATCAGATCGTCTTAGTACCTCGATGGGTGCCATATTAATACCTATAAAATAAATGTATCGATGGATGCGAGGCGAGGAGGCGGAGGTGGGAGGTGGATCGGAAATAGTGAAGGTATGCGTCATATATCCATCGATTGTCCGAAACGGTGGAATCGCAATTTTGGGTCAGGCGGTACGCCAGATGATCAAGACGGCAACGAGCAAAACGAGGACGAGCAAGTGGTATGCACACATCGTGTGGGGTAATGCAATCAAGACCTGACAATTGATTAGCGTACGTTCATTTTCCACTTTCACAGCAGGAGTCACGAGTCCGATGGTCAAACGAGACATTGGAAGGAAACATGCAGGGAAGCGAAGGAAGGAACAAAGAGACCACGCACATTTTGTAGTGCATAACCGCCTCCTGCTCGTCGCTTTCTAGTTTATACTTGATCGTGATGTCGAGGTCGCGGTTATTGCGCGAGTTTGGTGCGCACGAGAGATGTCCGACGATACGGTCGTTCTCGTGCACTGGTAGGGTAGAGGAGGTATAGAACACCGTTTGTCTGCCACACAGTCAGTCGTAGCCAGAATGAGAAGAAATGATGTACTCACTTCCAGTGGGTATAAGTAGAATGAGGACCAGTAGAGAATTTTACTTTCTTGTGCGTGCATTCGAAGGAGATGTCGAACCAAGCCAAGAACGCATGTACATCTTTTTGAAAAAAGTCAGGCGGGAGGTGCAAGTGCATCGGAGAATATAAGTACTGACAATCGTCACGGTGACATGTCAGATTGAAGGGAGCCTCAAATGTCAGATCTTCTTTCTTCGCGGTCAGAAGATCGATGTGCTTTGGCAGAAATCGTTGGTTGTTTCGTCTGGGGTGATGAAAACGCAACTCACCTTGATCATACAAGGGTCAGTAACGACTGACTTCAGTTCGACGGTGTCGACCAGAGGCTCGCGTATAGCGATGTCTTTAATACATGAATAGTCGAAGCCATACACGTTATCCCAGACTAAGAGCATCGGGTGAGTGACGCGACGATCTATGAGAAAAAAATCCTCACAGTTGATTTTCTCCTCCTTGTATTCCTGATCTTCGATCGCACCAAGGAAGAGAGTCGCTGTGTCGGGAAAGATGAGGCCGCCCTTTTTCAGGTACTTGTCACGAGCAAGGAGGACAGTGTCGAGCATCGACTCGTAGAGAAGGAAGTAGCCCATCCATTCCGAGATGATGATATCGAACTCTTTGATGGGCAGCTCGGCCTCTTCAAGTTTACCCTTGACGAGTGTTATAACTGGGAAAGACGAGATGAGAGAATGCAAGAGAGAGATGGACAACTCGCTTACCATCTTTGAAGCCATTAGCTTCGATGATTTTTTGAGCTTGCTCAATGATATTCGACATGTCGATCTGAAGTTTCAATTAGAAGGAAGTCCAACGACAAAGATGATAACACGCACTCCAACGACATGCTTCGCACCAGCCTTGGCTGCAAACATAGACAGAATCCCCGTCCCACACCCAACATCCAGCACGGTCTTTCCTTTGAAGAGGTGGGCGTTGTTGACGATGGCGTTACGATATGATCCAGTTCGGACGGTGTCCTTCAGCATCTCTTCGTGGATACCTTGATGACAATCACCCTTGAGCCAGAGTGCATTTCACAGATCGCAAAGCTCACCAAAATGAGCATATGAGTCGGCATAACTGAAAAATTGGTTGGTCGTTTGACAAACGAAAATTCCAATCGAGCACGTACTAGTCTCGCGATGTCATATCATGAGGATCTACCGAACCTGCCTCGGGTTGCGTGGAAGGACCTGCGTTCTCCATTACTGAATCCATGATATTCGCCGGTTGGGTTCAAGGATCGATGAAGGTGAAAGGGAAGGAAGGTTCAAAAAATTACACGAACTTTGGAAAAACGCGTCAAAGATCGATACACGTGCCGAAGCACACGTGATGCTCGGAACGATCTCCATTTGGCTAGCCGCGACGGTAATGGAACTGCCTCTGTGACTCTTGCGCAGCCTCATCGGACTCCGGAGCATCGTCAAGCACCTTCCGCAGCCCTGGCGACGTGGTCCTTTAAAGGGCACCCAGCCTTGCGTTCTCCATGATCGTTAACTCTGACGACGACAACATGGTGAGCCCCACATTTCATATCTTCCAGAGGCCTTTGTAATAGTATATGCAGTCGAAGCAAGCATTGCTTGAAGATGTACCCCAGGAGAACCCTCCTTCATACGATTATGCTACGGACGCAGGAAGTCCCCGTACGTCTGTTATTCCTTTGGATAACCATGTTTTATAATCGTTGCTCCAGGTCCGAAGGACAGCATACCCCACAAGGGTCCAGACAATCAGCCGCTGATAGTGCCGAACATTGCTGGGCCATCGTACACCTCCCAACCACTGCAGACGGCACCTCCGACAGTGTACAACTATATCAACCCTGTTACTGGGGAGAGGGTGGTGTCCCTGCTCCCACCAGGTCACCCCGAGATGATATGCTTGCAGGCTGGAGCGCATATACCCCACACCCAGTACGGTTTGTTGGGTGAGTTCCGCGTTGCTATTTCGGATGCCATGCACTACTAACTGTACCCCAGGTATTCTTGCTGCGGTGTTTTGGTTCCCTCTGGGTATCGGCCTTTGTCTCCTCGATAAACGAGTGAGGTGCAAACGTTGCGGCCTGCTTATCGAGGAAGGCTTGTGCAGTTAAACGACGGTCTGTTCCTTATCATATTCACCACTCTTATCGCATACTGTATTCGCTCTCAATATTTGGACGCTCCTGTCGTAATGACCTTTATGATATCTACTGTGCATCGTTGTCTTGTTTTCACTTTCTTTTTGGCACTTTCGTTCATCGCTATAGCTCAAAGGCTATACCTCCTGCTCTTGTATGTACACGATACTTTCAGTCCATATCCATACGTTGTGCTTGCTGGTTGTTTCCCCGACCTCACGACGTCACATTCTACTCACATTGAGAAGGCGAAAATCCAGATCTGGCAAGATGTGTCTGTCGACGACTTCAAGTTGCGCAGCAGAATAAGCCCACTCTGATCAACCAATTCGAAGGTGATCTATTAATAAATTGTGACTCGTTCCGCTGTGTATCCGGTCCGAGTCTCCTCGCAGCAACTTTGCCTTCCTGCGCTGATGGAGCCACCTGGGATTTTCTGATAGTCTATTCCTCAAACAAAAGAACACCCATCCACCGCTCAGAGCTGCATCCAAATAAAAACCACTCGCTACTCCATATGCACGGCTGATGGATGACTGAGAGCCCGATGAGAACCCAAGCCGTACGCTCCGCAGAGGGAACAAAGCCTCTCTGCTATCCTTCTTCCAATGCGCAGCATGACGGGCCAGCGTCCATTCCGTATGACCCTCGGACTTCGCACCACAATACCTACTACTACATGGGCCCGAGATCAGCGTCATGGCACAGGTACGGGCGCCTATTAAAATGTACCCCAAAGCTTAAAAACACACGAACTGACTCGGGGTTCCAAAACCTCAGGGCACCGACACAAGCCGCAAAGTAAAGCACTCAGCCCAAGAGCGCTCGTGGACTTGAATACTTGACATCCGTGGAACACGATATGATTATGATCGACCGAGATCAGCGCACCCAATTATCACGGACAACACCTGCCGTTTGTGAAGGCCTGATTGCCTGTTCAAACGTTCATCATGGAGATAAGCAACGCAATGAATAGCACTTGAGCAGGCTGTGTAACTCAGGTCTACCATGAAGAACGTCCAACAGAACACGCTGATCCAAACTTCGACGTCACCTGCGCCAGCGCCGAATGGCATTCCAATTCCGCGTACAGCTTTTCTTACGTCCTGGAGCCTTTTAATGGGCGGCCTTGTCTTCCCTGAGCCAGGTATGCACCCTTGCGATTACAATGGACCCCAGTATAGCGGCAGATAGCAGTAGCAGCAGCATTTCCCCACCAACACAATCACTCAACCTCCCTCTTCCTGTCCCCCGCAGGAGTCGTGGGGGTTCGAACGCGGTATGTCTTTCTTTGAAGATTTATGTACGCCGTTGTCCACGCCTGACGCCATTTGACAGACACTAGTCGGCAGCCCCAGCACACCGCGCAGCATCTCCCAGCTTCTCAAGGAAGAACCCAGTGCTGGCCCGCCAGCAAAGGTCCAGGACTGCTGGGATGAGCTTGGCTCAGAGGCAGACGAGTACGCCAACATATGGCAGATATATAATGAGGAAGCGGGGAAGAAGGACGCGACGACGACGGAGGGATCAAACAGGGGAATCGATGGTCTTTTGGTGTTTGTAAGTCTTCGAATTCATATTTGACGAGGTATTAAGTGCTGATTAGCAATTTGAAGACAGGTTTGTTCTCCGCGGTGCTGACGACGTTCATCATCCAATCCTACCAGCAAATGATACCCAACCCCTCCGACGCGACCAACGCCCTCCTCATAGAGCTGATCGCGCTGCAGCGAGACGCGGCCAACTTAACCGCTTTGCCCAACCCCAACACTACGGTTAGCAAAGCCATGGACCCCTCGCCCTCAGAAACCCAGATCCACGGTGTCAATGGCCTGTGGTTCGCTGCTCTGGCGTGCAGCCTCTCCGCCGCCCTCATATCCATGCTCGCAAAGCAGTGGATCCAATACACGCCCCATATCTCGGGTTCGCCGAGGTATCGGGCTCGACAGCGCCAGCGGAGGTACATGCAGCTGAAGAAGTGGCACGTCTTCGCAGTCATCAATGCTCTTCCACTACTGCTCCACGCTGCCCTCTTGCTCTTCTTCGCTGGATTGCTGGTGTTGCTTTGGTCGGGCGACATTGCGATTACTGCAGCGACGTTCGTTATCGTTGCTGTCGCCTATATCTTCTACGTCGGCTCGATGTGGATGTCTTTCGTCGACCCAGATTGCCCGTACCAACACCCCATTACTGAGCATCTTCGTTCTTGGGTGGCTCGGCACACTCGCTGTGGTGCCCCGTCTTCGGAAATTGAGCTGGAAAGCAACATTGGTGATAAGTTGATACCGCTGCAGTAAGTCGTCTCTGTTGCCAAGGAAATCGTCGCCCTAAGGTCTTGACACTCATCCAGCCGGATTCCAATGCACACATCGCAACCGAACCAAGAAGATTATCTCGACGCATACGCCCTCGTTTGGCTCCTCCAGGAATGTAATCACGAAGACATCGTCACCAGCACCCTGCAAGCAATAGGCGGACTGCCTATCAACTTCACTGCCTTCCATGTCCTCCGCGACGCAGGTGTCATCCCTTTGGTCCTACAACAATTCAACTCCTGCTTCCATCGAGACTCCTCTTCCTTCGACCATCGGTGGCACATCACCAAAGCAGGAGACGCAGAGAAGTACTGCCGTGCATGGGTCAGGCTCACGCACAATACGGTAGAACGTTGGCCGCGAAAGCTCCTCGCCCCCCTCAACGCCCTGAAGGACATGCCAGGAAACCTTCACGTGTCGAGTGTCGCCGCATGTGCCAGTGCGTTGGATTCGTTAGACCTGCGAGGACCGCAGCTCGCATTGGTCACCCAGCTCCGACAGACCGCCGAGTGCGAGTCCAACGCGACGGAGCTGACGCAGCTATGGCTGTTGGAGACCTTCCTTGAAGCGTCAATGAGTTGGGAGCTGGAAGCGGTTATTGTAGATGACATAACCAGACGAGCCATCCCAGTCCTCCTTCGGCTCCTCCAACAAGCCGCAGATATGCAGAGGGCAGAGGTGCAGAGCACGATCGCCTTGGTCATGTATTCGCTAACTGGAGGTAGCGTCGACTACATGAGATTGGTTCTCAGCGAGCCGGATACTCGACGAGAAACATTCCACAAGTCGATTATTTGGGGGTTGGGCATCATCGTGAAGAACCCTCATCGATACGGGGTCGTCGATGATGATCTCTTTAGGTTTGCAGCAATGGAATTTGCGACGATTGCGGCACCAGCCGTCAACCAAATCAACGGACTGCCGGCAGCGTTTAAAAACATAGCCCGCCAAGGCTTGTCCAAATTGTACCTTGAAGGGAACATCGGAGCTGGGTTGATATCCGATTCTGTCCTCGCTGATATTCTCCAAATCCTCCATCCGATCCTCAACATCCCTCCAATTCAATACCCTTCCTTTGTCAAGACACTCCTTCGGACGTTAGCGGGTTCGTCAGACGTTAACGTCGCCTTATATGCCATCCGACTGCTAGAATCTTTGTTGGGCGACTGCCACCCGACTGTGGTGCTTGCATTCATAGAAGAGAACGGAGTCGCGGCCTTGCTTCGCGTAGCGTGCACCGGCGATACTGACAATAGGCGGCTCCAAATCGATTGCATACGGATGCTATGCATCTTCGTCCAGAGCAGCAACGATTGCTCGTTGCAGATAGAATTTCCTTCATTTTCGGAGGCACTGAAGAAACAATTCGACGACCTCTTCCAGTCCAACTTCTTCCCAACCATTATTTCCGTCATTTCTGCCCGTCGTTGGTGGCTTCCTGAGATTGCCGAAATTTGGGTGCCTTCGATTTTGTACCTTTGCGAGGCGAGACCACATGAGAGCGTCTGGCCGGGCGTGGAAGCTGTCTTGAGGAAGTTCGCCGAATTAAACGTCGGAGAAGATGGCTCGCACAGACTTGTCGACAACCTGGATAGAATGGCCGCCATACTACGGCCAGGTGTATAATGGACCTTGATATTCGTGTAAATTTGTGTAAGTTATAGAATAAATAACCTGTGACGTGATGGCCTTCCATTCAGGCTGTTTTGGGCGATTTACTCCACCAATCGGTGAGGTCGATACGGATGAGCAAGTGGTAGAGAGCATCGAGGCCACCAGTAGATCGTCGCCGGCCGCCAGCGTATGCTTCCAACGATAGTTTTGAAGAGGAAGGACTCTTGTCGACGAGGCCCTTGAGTACCTTTGTCTACAAGGCCATAAGCAGACTGGAATAAGAGAGTAGTTGGAACTCACCAGGGTTGTCATCTTCGTACCAAACTTGCTGAAAAGCTCTTCAATGAGCGGTGCAGCTTGATATTCCTTGATTCTACCGCGATGCAGCTCGCCCACGACAATCGTAAATTCCAACACCAATTCAAGAGCATGGCGAAGGAGGTCTCCAACACCCCGTTGTCCAGACCTCAACAAGCATGCGCTGAGTATGTCGTCCAACAGGGCCGAATGGCATTGCGCGAGCTCAAAAACGTCCGAGAAGCCGTCGTCGCGGACATTCGGATCCGAACTCGATGTGGAGGAAAGGTCGGCAGACAACCGAGCCAGGAAAGGATCAAAATTGCCGCCAATTGCTGTGTCGAAGACGTAGCCTGAGAGACTGGAGACGAAAGCCTGGGCGACGAAACGGAAATGCAGCAGGAGCTTGCGAGAGGGCGACAGAGTTGGAAAGAGAAACTTGGCAATTGCGCGATGGGTTGACATTCGGAAGAGGGACTTGAGAGCGCATTCAACTAGCACAGAATGTTAGCAAAGGCCGTACCTTGAAAAAATGTACTCACCTCGCTGAAGCCTAAGGAGGAAGGTAAACATCCGTTGGTACTTCGCCAGGATTTCTGGAGAAATCAGGATCTCCAAAGGGTGAGGGGGCTTGTAATCCATGTAGAGGAAGTCGAGAGCTCTGGAAAACTAGGTCAGAAAGGTAAATAAAGTCGAGATCACCTTTTGACGTACTCGATGGCTACAGTCGGCGATAAATAGCTATCAGCAACCCATGACAGGGAATGGCAAGGACAGATACTCACAAAGAGGATCCAACCACTTATCTTTTCCAGCTCCAGTTGGCAGATCACGGATCGCAAAGCCCAGCCTCCACTCCGCCTCTTCGACCACATCCTCTCTCTCAAACGTTCCATCCTCCGTCTCCTTTCCCTGGTCTAGCGAATCGACAATAACCGTCCGCAGAAAGAAGCTCAGATCCGCTCCAACAGGCGGCCACGTTTCGCGCTCGAGGAGATTGGGCGAAAGGCCGACGGCCCAAGGCTGCTTGCCCTCTTTTTCTTTGGGCTTCTTGCCAGGGCGTCGTCTCAACGAACGGAGGGACATCGAATGCGGGGTGATGTCGACCTCGTATTCACCTTCATCGGAGAAGAGAGCATTGAGGAGGCGAGACTTGAACGAAGGGGCCGCGAGCAGGAGGTACGAGCGTAGGAGAATAAGGTGGGATCGGAAATTGAGCTTGCCGGGCGAGTCGATGAAAAGAGACAACAGGGTGGAGGAGAGGGTGGACGCATGTTGCATGAGGTCGTTGAACGTCAGAGATGCAAGCTCTGCGAGTGTGGGTGTAATGAGTGGCAGGGACGAGGAGAACTTGTCGACAAATTCGCGAAGGACAGTCGATGAACTATCTTGGACGTCAATAGTCTGGATGCCCGGCTCTAAATCGAAGAGCTTGAAGATCGACAATTCAGGGACTGCCGACGGTGGCAGAGAAGGGGCAGCGAAGGAGGGGGCTGGAGACCCCTCGGGAAATTTGTTGCCATTCCAAGCAGCCCATATCTCTTCTGCAGTCCAAAGCCACCGAAAAGACGCCTTGGTGGTAGGCGATGTTAGTAGTGGATGATCAGGCTGGGCAACCCGGAACAGGATCAACGATTTTTGAGCGGCCGGAAGTGCTTGCAGGAGCTTCAGCGGAAAGAAGGAAGGAAATGAGGTCTCAATTGTGTCGAGGAGATCGAAGATGTCCTCTTCCTCTTCTTCCTCTTCTTCGAGTTCATACTGATCTTTTCGTTCCTTCTTGACCGGCTTGTACGAAGGCTGACCACCAAATCCGATCGAATGAGCTACTTGTTGGATGTAACCATGAGATGCGTTTTTGAGGATAAAGGCGATGGTTGCGCGTATGATAGGTGGCGACTGCCGCTCAAAATGCCGTTCAAGGTGATCGAAGATCCTCGAAAGAAGGGGCACGGACGAGGATTCGAGTATATCATACTCGTCTGGACGCCGCCCGTGATCCTACGCACATGTCAGACAGACGCCTACATTTGTTGAAGAATCCTACCCTTCCGTAAACCTCAGCCAATGCGACCAACAGCTCCTCGTGGGTGGCATAATGAGCCCAGATGGCAGATAGCGGCAGCATATCGGTCGCAGATGCAATCTCGTCTGCTGTCGGCGGGCAACTTGAAAGAATTTCGCGAATGAAGTTTAGAGTTGTCGACAGCGAATGGGCCAGTGCGTGAATAGTGGGACCTTCTCTTGCGGATCTGCGAGACATTGAAGACAACTCTACCAACTCATCACAGCATGAACTGACCTCGTTCGCAGCGAAGACAACAAGAGCTCCAAACGGCGTATCAAAGTTCCTACCGTTAAGAAACGGGATATTATGCTGGAGCAAAATTGACGAAAAGCCTCGAATTCGACAGTGAGAAGCGTACCTTGCGCTGATAGCATCATCCTTCCCATCGAGAAGCAAAACCCCTCTCTTTCTGTTTTCCAGCGTGCCAACTTGCGTAAATCTCTCGCTTACTGAATCCCAGACATAGAATTGTGACGACATCCCTAGAACAGTCGATTTCAGGGACAACAGGAGCTCCCTTTGGTTGACGGACAGGATACTGTCCATGCTATTGTAGAGGCGGGGCTGAACACTTGGTTCCATGAAACTCGTTCACGACACAGAGACGTAAGAATACTCACTGATATCGAGCAGAACTATACACGAGACCCTCTTGCTCAGAAAGAAAGACTGTCGGGACGGCTTTATCAGTATGAGTTCGGCGCAGTCTATCCCATGAAAGCATGCCGCTCTAGAAGACGCTCAGTTGCTAATAATTCCAGAAATGAAGTTTATCCGTACTCTGACACCGAGCTTTCGAGTAGCGGCCTCCATCCAAAGTTGTTGGATACTCCTCTGGACATCTTCTGGGTTACGACGACGAGGCTCTACTGCGTCAAACGCAAGAACTGCAAGCTCTTCGGGCAGCTTCGGAGGGCAAAACGGGCGCTTGGGAAGAGAGGTGTTGGCTGCTTCGAGCTTCAAGCTTTCCATGATCGGGTTTTGCGGTTTGTTCTCGAGTACTGGCACGAAAAAGCGAGGCGCCAGGCGAGGAAGATCTTGTAGCTTCTGATGGTGGTGAGCGAGTACATCGCGCGGGTCAATGAACGGCTCGAGTGGGGTCCACATAGCAGGGTCCATCTGCGGCCAATATCCTGCGCGACGCGTCCAGTGGACACTCGACTTCGGAGTAACACCAACCTTTGCACTGTGGGAAGTGTTTCGGTGATATCCGAGTCACATGCACTTCGTTGACTTCAATTTGAATTTCCAACACTTGTCACAACACTTGTCACTAACACCATGGCACTAACAGCTTTCCAGCGTTCCATTCATGCCTCTGGATCGCTCTCTGTTCCGAGTTCATTCTGCCAGCCATACACAGTTTCAATCATTATTCCGCTAACTCTTGGGCGTCACGCAAGTTAGCTCTCGTCATAGGTAGGGCCAGAAAATGAGGCCTTCCTCGACTCTCTTGATTGGTATAAGCTTCAGTGAGCTTTTTTCCTTCGCAGCACCGATGGGCGCTCGAAGTCTGCTCGTGGACCTCAACGGCAGTACTGGATGAGGCGATACCGGTAGCTTCATATTTCAAGACGTGGAGCTCCCTTCTAGCCCTACGCGAAGTCCATGCTCATTGTTTTTTGATCGGAAGTCTGTATGAAGTAGGGCAGTGTACGTTTCGACGGCGCGGGGTAGCTAGAAATGCAAAAAAAGCTTCCATAGTCTATATTGCGCTCGAAGTTTCCCATCCTCCGTCCTTCAATAGCCCTCGATCTCGCTGCTTAGGATTCGCCTTCGACCAATACTCTAGTCATGCCGTCGTTCACCATTTATTTAGAAGACACTTCACCCATGCTCGTTTATAGCGAGCATTGGCGGGCAGGTTCCTCGGGAAATGACCGCTTTCTTGACCGGTACGCCTTCGCCATCTTTCTCTCCTAGCTTAGGTTCCCCTGAAACCTATTTTATCCATTAGTTACTCCCAGAATAGCTTCATGGTGACCCAAAACGCGGGAGAAATCGTGAATCTGCAGTTCTATGGCTCGTCTGTGCAAGTCGTTGGCTCAAAGCGTTCAAATCATGGCAACTACGAGGTCCAGGTCGATGGCGGTCCGCCCTTGACATTCAACGGAAATGCTGCCTCGGAAATATTTGGTGAAAATCTATTCGGCGGATCTGATCTAGGGCCCGGGCTCCATTCCTTAACGCTCAGGAATATCGGAAACAATCATAGCGATATTGACTATGTAAGATACCTTCAATACCTTCTATATCCTCTAAATTCTGTTAAAGCTGAACACCTGTGCTAGGTCACATTCCAAGATAATGTTGGAGCTAATAATGAACGATTGTTAGTAAACACGTTCCAAGCGGCTCACCCATCATTCGTTTACTCGCCGAAATCCTCCTGGACGAATTCCACGACTGTCGGACCGGCAGACTTTGGACGGTACGCATTCTAGCCGCGATTTTACTCGTTTTCATGACAACTGCTAGGGGAACTTCGGATCCTGACGCCTCCGTGGTGTTCACATTCCAAGTAAGCGAGAAGTCCTACTAAAATTCCAGAAGTTCTGAAAATCCCTACCTCAGGGTAAAATATCTGGACCTTTGGAAAATGAACTCCAGCTTGATAGTACCCCTTCTCAGGCGGTGCAATAGCACTATACGGCCCTGTGGGTCCTAATGTCTTCCCAGGGATCTCTTTCAAAGTCGACGACCGGGATACTGTCTCGCTTTCCGCTCAAAGGTCAAAGTATTATCCGCGGCAACTACTATTCTACTCGGGACGGCTAGGACGTGGGCTCCACTCATTAACGGTACGGCCTCAATCTAGAGACTCTGGTGTACTTGTAATCGAATCTGCCGAAGTATTTACGACGGCATCCCTGGGAGGAAGGTGAGTGGGCTTTCCCTGTAATTTGAATCTCAGTATCGAGTTTCAGAGGAAGTTACGGGTCTCAGATTGTGGTTGCCAGTGGCTCGACGAACGACATTTATTCAAGGTAATTGCTAAATTATAATGGAACAGGATGACTTAACTTATGTGTGCACTCACTATCAATGCGGAACAGAGCTCCACCTGCTATAATTGCCGGGTTGATCGTGTCATGCGCGCTAACCCTCGTTGCTATTTTGGGATGTCTATACTTCTACCGCCGTTTAAGACGGGCGCTTAATCAACCTTCGCTCTTCGGGAAGACTACAAAAGAACCAGATCTCACTACAATCCAACCATTCTTAAATTCTGAGACAAATCTACAAGAACCTGGAGCTACCAATGGCACTACTCCCATTTTAATCTCTCATGTAAGATTTACACCATAGAAAGCAATTGGGAATTTCATTTCTTCTTGAATAGTGTCACCAAGGCGTCCCATTTGGTCACTACAGTCGTAAAAGAGAGCTTAATGCTTCCAGCAATGACCGGCACGTTTCTATTCTCAATTGCGCTCTCACCGCTCCTGTACTTGGCTCATCATCACTGTTGCAGGTCGCAATCTCAGATATTCCCTTCCATTCGGCCCACAAATGCCCACCCTTCAAGTTCAGAGATATCACCTCCAGAATACACAGACATTCTGAACCAGGGAGGTGTTTGATCTTAATTCTGTTGGATTTATACACCACCAGCCCAGCTGCTCATTACGGCATATCGCTAAGCGTTTGCAAAATTCCTTTCTATGATAGCTACTCCCGGGAAAATATTGAGCTTGGTCGTGGGGACTTAGGAGACGCCTTTAGCATAGCGTTGGGTGTAGGTCAACAATAATTAATATACGACGATTATAAGAAAGTTCCCTAACCTCATCTGCATAATGGAAGTAAAAACGAGGTCGACAATTTAAAGGGCCGCTCCGACCTATTGGGCACAATCTCATGGAGACATAGAATTATTGTGCCGTACGTAGAGTATATTTAAGAAGCAAGGGAGACCTGGAGACTCTGCGTATAAAACCGAGCGGAAAACAAATTGATATCGAATTCAAAGATAATTGGGAGCTGATTCAAATCGGAGCGGCAGCAAGGTTTTCTCTAGATGATGGAAGAGAAGGAGGCAGACCTAGATCTCCTTGCTGGTCGATAAGTTCGGAGACCTTGTCCTCTTCCTCTGCGATAATCTCGTCAAGCTGACGATCGATCTTCTGTTCTGCTGCGGACTCGGTTTTCTGGTCATAGTTCTCCTCTTCAGTCTTTACGTCTGATCTATTAGGACCAGCCTCTCTCTGTGGTTCTTTGCCATCTGTCGTCTCTTGCGGTGTCCTGGAAGTTGGGAAGTCGGGAAAGTCGGCGGCGTCCTTCATACCTTCAATGTCACTTCCCTCGCCCTCCTCGTCCACCACCGCGGCATCCCCGAACATCTCCTGGAACGTCCTGACCGTCGATCCTCCCAAAATCGCGAACAGGACCGTGTCAAACGCGCCATAAAACCTGCCCTCCACGCCCTGGTCATTCTTGAATAGCAGATCCCTGAAGATACCCGCGACGAGCTCGACGCGATTCTGGAATACGCCTGTCCCGAAAGAACCGAGCACGAGGTGCCGTGCACCGCGTCGATGGAAGAGGAAGAGTAACCGAGCGATGCGCTCGTACATCTCGTCGTCGATCTCGAGCTCGGCGAGCTCGAAGGGGTCCACATTGGGCGGCGGTGTGGGCGATCGAGGGGGCTCGGAGGAGGAAGAGGCAAATGATAAGGGTTCCGTGGGGGTGTGTTCGGGGCTTGAGAGAGGATCGGAGGGTTTGGCGTATGTCGCTGTTTGGGAGGTTGCTTCGGGTTCAGAAGTGGGATTGGTTATACCGGCATCTTCTGAACTGGATGCCTGGGGGTTGTCCTGCTCGCTCGTCTGTTGGTCATCCTCGTCTCTGTTTGACTCAGCCCGCTGTGCCTTCAATTGTTTCTTCTCGGCATCCTCTTCTTCTCGTCGCCTGGCCGCGTCCTCTTGCCTTGCTGCTTCAGCATGCTGAACTCTTGCGCGTAGTTGTCGCATTTCTTCATGCCATTCGACTTGTTTGCGCACGTCCCCAGCGTTCACTGCGGCGCTAGACAGGACATCCACTTCGATCGGGCTCTTCCAATCTCCTTTGTCGTTCCGCATCAGCACTACGGCAGGGGAATACACCATCGCGTGGGTATAGAACGCGTTATCGGGGTCTTCGGCGTAAAGTTGGTAAAAATCCTTCGCCGCTGGGGTGATCAAAGATGGATATAACGTCGACGCGCGCGCGATGGATTCTTCCTGTTAATCTGACGTTATCGAAGTTGATCTATGAGATATCACAAACGTACCTGTGCTTGCGAACCATTAAGGAACCCTCCACCAGGTTTCTTCGCCGAGGCAAAGTTAAGTGCACCGATGGTCTCACTCTTTGCGTCGAGATCAGAGCCAACCGTCTCATGCAGCTTCCTCGCCCCGACCAGGGTGGAGTACTCCCCGATGACTATCTTTGTATCCTTCTTCTCCCCTAGGTTCGCCGTGGCCCACTGCTCGATATCAGGATCATCAGGTGGATAGTACCCTGTGTTCTCGTTGGTGTACAATATTTTCGAGACGAGATCGTAGGGCATGTCACAGCCTGGTGGGATGTACCATCCTTCATCGAGTGTTTCGATAGTGGAGTTCGCAAATTCGCGTAATTCGTCGCGTGAGAGGCGATATGCTGGATGTCGCGGATAGTATCGTCCGCGGTGAGGGCGACTGCTACTCGGGCGTGGGGTATGGCTGCTCTCTCTTTCTTGCTCCTGGACTTGATTCGACCAGCTACCGGACAGTTGCGGAACTGATTCTGTATCTTGAGATGGGTTCATCAAGCCAGAGCAAAGGACCAAAAATGGGATGGCGAAATAAAGGGACTCCGTCTCTGAACCAAGTATGATCTGGCAACGATTCTACGTAAGTTTGTTGCTCTCAATGAGAATTCCATACTTGCCTACGATATCAGTCGCTACGGCGGCTGTATGAAAGAGAGTAGGCGCTTAATGAGTGGTAGCGGATGAAGTCAGATTAAGCGCCGCGACTGCCGTGCTTCTTGGATCGCCGGATCGTCGGTGTACGAATTCATCCGGGATCTGCCGGGAGCCTTTCTCAACTCGACGACGTTCTCTCTCCCAGTCTGCACATCGTCCAAGCCGGGACTATGGTGGAGTACAGACCAGTACAGAGTCTGATACCACTCCGTTCTGAATGCGCCATCCCCAACAGGAATACATCATTTCAGGTCGGGGAACGTGATGATGGCGGGGGTGAAACCTTTGACTGTCAGGACTCAGTGGCAACCCGTGAGTGCATTTACCCTCGTTTACCTCATCCTTTGACCTTTGTAAATTTAGTACAATCTCTTTGTTCTTTGTAGACCAAGTTCTTTCTGATCAAGATGTGATCCTTCGACTACCTGTCAGATGGTTAAGGCCGCTCTTTTGGTCTTCGTACTCACCGAGCATCCAACGGTATTCAAAGTGACCTTGATATGACGAAGGGGATGCTTTCCTCGAAATAACCCGCCCATAACTTTTTATCGCAAAGTAAGCGCTTGATCATGACATATTCGTTGCCAGCCTCTGCCCTGATCTGACCTCTGCATCATCTCGACAAGACAACCCTCTATATACGCGTTGGCTCTTGCCACCACGATACCGGGGCTTGCGCTGGCCATGCCTTCGCTCACGACCACTGTCAAGGACACATCCCCTCTTCTTATTTATACCGGGAACTGGAGACCTGGTAATTCAGCCACCGACCCTCTCGCTAGTCGGTGCGTAGGACTGCCTTTGTGCGAGGAATCTCGATGACGTTGCTCTAGTTATCTGGAAAGCAGCTTTACCTTCACGCAAGGTGTCGGCCAATCCATGATTTTTCAATTCTACGGCTCCTTCGTTGAGGTAGTTGGCGCGAAGCGTCACAACCATGGAGACTACACTATCCAGGTGGACAACCAGACGTTCACAGGAAACGGCTTCTCAGACAGCGAGATATTCAACACAACATTATACAGTCAAACCTTAGACCTCGGACAGCACACCTTGGTAGCCACGAACGTTGGGGGGAATGGGGGCCAATTCTTTGATATTGACTATGTACGTGCATTTAGCTTAATGCTGGTCTCTTGAGGACGGAAATAAATGACAACTGCAGGTGACCTTCCGTTCGGACATCGGAGAGACTGACGAACCATTAATTGTGAATACTTTCCAAGACTACCATCCTTCTTTCAATTTCTCTCCGCCTTCCTCATGGAGAGATCAACTAAATCCTTTCCCTGGGATGTCAGGCCGGTAAGACTTAGCGCATTTCGTCCATGTCCGCGGGAAATTCTCAGTAGTGCCTAGTTCTACGTCAGACATGGCTGCCTCCGCGAGGCTTTCTTTTCAGGTATATGAACTGATATATCTTCTTGGAAACTTGGCTGATTTTTGTCTACTAGGGTGCGTCGCCTACCGAAAGTTTCCCAACCGTATCTGATGAAATAGGACAGGAGATACTGTCGCATTGTATGGCCCGGTAGGGCCAGACTACGCTTCACTTTATTCAGTTCAAGTGGATAATCAAACAAAATCAGTCTTTTCCGCTCGCAAGCAATTTTACAGACCACGACAAATCTTATTTTTTGCGGCCAACCTAGGTTCCGGCTTACATTCCCTTGTAATCAAACCAGAACAGGCTGACGGAATATTGGGAATCGACTCTGCCAATGTTTATACAACCCCATCTCTCGGAGGGAGGTGAGTAGTCATTCTGCGTTTGCGACTTCTAAATTGCTAGCGTTCTTACACCACTTATAGCTTTTCTCCTGGCCCCGTTGCTGGGCCCGACGCAACGAGCGCGAGCGTTCCTGGTGCTAATACCCTGCCCCAGGACCTCTCATTCAGCCGGATTCCACGAGGAGCGATTGCTGGACTCTGCTTTACTACGTTGATAGCTTTCTTCTCCACCGCTGGCTTTTTGTACCTCCTGTGGACTCAGCGCAGACAGCGATGTCGCGAGGCTGCTATTCTCAAGCGCAACACGGAGCCATATCCCTTCACCTCAAACCCGCCAACAGTGGGCTACACGGTCACACGGGTACCTTCCCACCCTCCCGTTGTACAGAGGTCATCAGAATCAGGAAACCGCCCATCGAATTCTTCCGTAAGATATCATTCTGCACGGTATCGATGGCAGCTCATCCCATGTCTCTTCTTTTATAATGATAGGGCCATCCTTCGGGAGGATTTGATCCAGCACTCCTGACATCTCGACGACCAAGAGAGATACCTCGACCGCCGTCAAGTTCCATCGAAGGAGGGTTAGCGCTGCCACCCGTCGAGGCCCCGCCATTTAACGCTGTCCCACCCGCCACCAGCACCCAACCCAGAAAGATCACCCTGCGGCTGCATAGCTCGATGCAAGTCGACGAGGAGTCGGAGATTGGCGTCGCTGACCCGCGCCCCACATCTACGACAACTCAGCCAAGGCGAAGTGCAAGACAGTCGCTTGATCTGACACGTTAGAAATATCATGCCAAGGGTATGCAGAGCCATACTGGACAAAAATACATACATTTCGTCATACAAGGGTATCGTTGCGAGGCAATGTATTTTTGAAATCCTTGAGAAGTTCGCCTCGAGGACGCTCGTAATCCCCAGCCCAGCTGCGTCTTTTCAAGACGAGCCAACCCCGATAGTAATATAGGAAACCCCCCGACGTAGAAATGGGGCTCGGCGTGACTTGCATTGCACTGGATTGCGGAACATTTTGCACAAGCCATGATTTGCGGCGAGGCAGTCTCCATCACACCACTTAAGCGCGAAACCCGAGACTTGATGCTTTCAGAACTCTTCTCATTAGTATCGATCAGCCCTCACTAGGCAATTGACAGCGGCATCAGTGGGGCTTGGGCGCTCTTCTCTTTGCTTTGGCTGAGTACGAAGTTTGGCCGGCGCTGGTGACGTGAGGAACTGCTCACTTTCAACTCCCACACGTACACGCTGTAACCTTCGAGAGGTGCAGCAGAACCAGCATTCGACTCTTTGCCAATGCCGTCGTACACTGTCGTGGTGAAAGACACTTCACCGATTCTTTCTTATAGGGGTACTTGGTTAGCTGGTTCTTCCAGAGACGGCCTTGCAGACCAGTACGCGTCGTCACCACGTTCTCAGCCTGACCTTTTGCTGATACCCGGCTATTGCAGGTACTTGCAGAGCACCTTCACCTTAACAGAGACGTCTGGGGACACCATGAGCATGCAGTTTTTCGGATCCGCTGTTACGATTATTGGGGCAAAGCGAGGCAACCATGGTAATTACCAAGTCCAGGTAGACACTGCAATCTACCCGCCCGCGACTGGGGCTTCAAACCAGGAGCTTTTCAACCAAACCCTCTTCAGCGCGAGTCTGGCAACGGGCCTCCATAACCTCACCTTGACGAATTCAGAGAGCAAATTCTTCGACGTTGACTATGTGCGTATCGATGGCAATCTTTTCTGCCCTGTCTCCCAATGAGTAATAACTTCATATCCAGGTTTCATTCGACACTAGCATTGGCACACCCAGTGAGGAATTGATTGTGAATACATTTCATGCAACCCATCCATCCTTCGTTTATTCTCCGTCGTCTGCTTGGGCAGAGCCAGGCGTCGTAGGCGCATTTACAGGGAGCTCCGGACGGTAAGATTTGAGAAATCTGACATTATTTATCTCATCTGAACATCATCCTCGTATACGCGCAGAGCTACTGCGGACCCTAGCGCTTCTGCTGCATTTACCTTCCAAGTGAGTTGCGGAAACAAGCTCTCTCTTCGGAGATGATTACTAAAACAATCTCGAAGGGCAAGGGTCATTCTGCACTCAATTGGAATCCCCCATTAATCTTGCAACTCCCTCAGGTGGCGCGATAGCACTCTACGGCCCAACGGGCCCAAATAGCTGCAACGCTATGACTTTCCAGGTCGACCAGGGACCTGTGTTTCCCCTTTCTGCTCAGAAGACGTTCCGGAAACCCCGAGAATTGCTGTTTTACACCGGGAATCTCGGTCGGGGAACTCATACACTCAGAATAGGACTCCAGTCAGGGATCTCCGGTGCACTAGTAATCGAATCCGCCGACGTATACACTACACCGTCGTTTGGAGGGAGGTGAGCATATGGACATCTATATTTTAATCCATAATGACCGGTTGCATCAGTTTTGGGACTCCTGTCCTGTCTTCGAATTCTAGTGTTGGTGGCACTTCCTCGACACTTCCTCAGTAATTATTCCCTCGCTGATGTTACATTTTCTTTGACTAACTCCATCTAGGAAAATTCCAACCTCTGCAATTGCCGGCCTCGTAGTCTTGGGCGTCGTTGCCGTCGTTGCCATTTTAGGATGTCTGTACCTTGTATGGCGCCTAAGACGGGCGCTTAAGGAAGTATCCAAGGCGACAAGCTACACGGTGCAGCCGAACACCCTGCCGTCGCAGTCCTTCGTCGTAGATGGAGGGGTAAATCCACAGAGGGGATATTCGAACCCTCAAATCGGTCCCTCAACCTCTCAGATCGGGTACTCCGTCACTCAACTGCACCCGCCTATACAGCCTGCGATCATCAGTCAAGCACAACCATTTACATACGTCTCCAGTTCTACGGCAACAACCTCCTCCGCATCCAATGTATGTTAAGTGGTTTCGCCCTCTATTTACTGAGAAGACCGTTGATCTATTTTTTTGATCGAAGTACTCGTCCCCTGCTTCAAGAGTTGGATACAACGATCGAAAGCGTCGGCCTCAGCCCAGGTAAGTCGTTTGCCATATGGACCCACAAATTATCTGACTCTTGAAATAGCAGCTCTCACAATTTAACAGCATCAACAGAAGTCCGAAGTGGCTCACGGGTATCACAGTCATTATCTGAAGCAGCACCTCCTGAGTATTCATAACGGATTCTTCAACTCAGGACTTTTTTCTATTTCTTGTTGTTGGAAAATGCTAGATTTTCAAATAGTCACTAGTCAGTCATTGTGCGTACAGGATTACTTTCTCGCCAAGCGTGAGCATGAACTGCTGTAGCGTAGTGCAACCCCCC